CCCTTCTTTATAAGCTTGACGCATTTCTCTTTAAAAACGTTAATGCTATCACAGGATCTTATGTCTTATGTAATTGTTCAGCGGCACGACTTCGGCGCACAGGAGCTCCGCTATTATCCCTTATAAACCATGAAATATTTTCGCTCGGACGCGATTAGTCTGAACGCGTCAGGTGACTGAATATGACTCAGCTTGCAGCTAAAACTGGGGAATATGCAATTACGAACGATGTTCCCCAGTTTTAAATCCGGCGTGTTGCAAAAAATTATTTGAAAGATAATAAACACAATACCCACATTGGACTTTTAAAATATTTTGGATTATATTGTAGAAAAATTAACCGTGAAAATGGCTATTGCGGTCAACTTACTTCGCTTTCTAACTCCTTGGGGGCACAACTGGTCAAAACGGGCTCGGATTCGGTCTCCGCAGAATATTGCGACAGTTTTACGTGATCCTACCTCGTTTAGCTTATACAGCTTTCCTGTCAAAGTACAAAGAAGAATTATCACGCCACGAATTCTACACATTTATATTGTAGTCTCAGTTCAAACGAAGGAACTGTTAGGGAAAAGAAAGTTTCTCTTTCTCCTGTGATGGCAGTGTGCTGCGTGGAACGAGATTCCTCCTGTACAACTGACACATCTATTGCGCGTATGCAAACTGGATTGATGTTCACAGAGCAGGGCATTCCAATTTTATAGGTAAAAAAGGCTGGTCAGACTGAAGAAGCGCCAAACTGGTCAGATGAAAATCCAATTGAAAACTTTGCATTATTCGACAAGATTGCATTATTCGACAAGATTGTCGAACGAGAAGTGTTATGTGCTTTTTTGTTACGCCTCTTACTTGGTGATTCAAACGAATCGCGAGAAAGTACTCTCGACAATTGGTGACTTTTGTTATACCTTTTGCCGTTTCAAGACACAAAGCAATTGCCACGAGTGCCACAATGCTCCAGAAACATGCGTTCTTCATCTGAAAAATAAAAGAGAAATAAAACATCAAAATCCCGGTCTAATAATTATAGCCGACTGATCAATTAAATTGTTAGTTTAAAATGTTCAATCTAGAGAACCTTTAGGCTCAATAACATCAAGTTTTTAACTTCCAGAATGTTGGGAACTGAATACTAGCGAGAACGTGTTGTATCGGAGGGTTCGCTTGAAACTGTTATAACTGAACTGCTAAGCGGATATACGTGGGTTGCAAAACAGGCGCTTTTGTTATACGAACTGTCAAACATCCGGAGTTTTTAACATGCACGTAGAGGTAATATTGATTCATTGAGGCGTTGCTATTTACCATTTAAAAGACGTGGAGAGTACATCATATGCTGTAAGTCTCTAAAAAGGGCAGGAGAGCAGAACTATCTTTGAGTCGCATAAAAGCTGAAATTAATGTTTGTTACGAAAGGTGGACCCGGCCGTGGATTTCCACGAAAACTAAAACTTTTGAAACATTCTGTTTGCAAACTCTGGGCAAACAAAATACGACCATAAATAAATGATAAATAGTTAAAGCCAATGTCGCGTGCGCCCATCGCCATTTCGACATATTTTCAGATTTATTTGATGTACATAATTACGTTGATAAGCGCAAAATGAATGCAGTTTGTTTTTCAAAGGAAATCCGGAACATTTCATATTCCCATTTTTATTTGAACTGCGACGTGTGAGTCATTAGTCACGTAGTTGGCCGTTGTATTTTGTCGACGTTGTCCCTTTGAAAAACATCACTGACACCTGAGTAAAAATGTAGAATCACCATTCACTTTCGTTAATTTAGTGCATGATTTTGCCGCAGTAGGAATGCTTATATGGTGCCTCAGAAGTTGCATGACCGTGTGAGAAAGTTGATTTATGTTTGTTGCTGACAAACTCGCTTTTCCTGAATAAAATGTTATTGTCTACGATCTGTGACTGACAAAGCGACATTGAGTAATCGAGCAGGACAAAAAAAAGTGAAGCGCAAATTGTGAGGTAATTAAAGATAAGCGTATCACCCATTCAAATAGCAATTGAAAACGCTATCAAAAGCTATCAATACTTGCCATGAATTTTGTTGAGATAGTTTACTCGTAATCAGTGCTCAGTTTTTTCGGCGATTGACTCCAAAATCTCGAGAGCGACACCTTTTGTCCGAGAAAGGTTACTGTATTGTCATAAGCGTGTTGTGATTTTTTTTGTTACTAGGGCGTGTTTGTTTGCTTTCTTTCCTTAGCTTTCTTTCTTTCTTTTCCCAGAAAAGAAGCTGTGTATTTATGCTTATGACACCAGACACACCTTCTTACATCCTAGAATAATCCTCATCCTTGTCCGTTTTTTCAAACCTGGGGCCCGTTTCTCGAAACGCCTGGAAACTATTCGGGCCCGTAAAGCCATTTATAGTTCATGTGTATCTAACAACGGAGAAGTGTGTACGCCTGATACTACTTGTATGAAGGGAACCTCTGTTCATATTAAGAATATGTCAATAAAACAGCTCTGTAATCGTAAGGTTCGAGATTTTGCTATGGCCTTACGGGCCCGAAAAGTTTCCGGGGGTTTCCAGAAACGGGCCCCTGGCCCTAAAATCGAAGATTGGTGCTGATACCCGTTAAGTTACCCAGGAATGGCGGCGTTTGTGTACACATTTGAGAAGGGCTTCAAAATCCTCTCCGCCCCATCTTTCGAAAACGAAGACAGTCCGACTCGGACACAATATCCTTATTTAGAGATTGCATTGCTACGGAAATTACCCCCTCCCATCTCCCTACCTTCCCACCTCCCCCCACCCCCAGCGTCCCGCCTCCCTTTTACTCGCGGGAATATCCCAGAGGTAATTAACTTTTTTTGTTGTTAAAGGCGAAACTGCATCTTGGTTTCTGCAGATCTTTACTACATTATTGAAACACGATAACTATTTGGCTGCTTGTCAAGTTGCAAATATTTGTTTTTTACTCTCTCTCCCGTCAGTGCAATGGAAAGAAATAAAATAAAATAAAATAAAATAAACGAAGCTGAAATTCTATAAGCGCCAGCCTATCAGACTTTAAGCTCTTATTTAAAAAAAGCAAGACGTTCAAAGCATTATTTCATATTGTAAATACCTGATGAAAGTTTTCACTCCTTTTGCTTCCAAAAAGATGTTAAACTAGAATGTGAGCTATTCAAGGCTGATGAGATCTCGAGTGGAAAATTGCTCCAAAACTCTACAATACGGCGTATTCCCAAGCGGTCATCTGGTCACGTTTTCCTGATGCAGTTACAATTGTTGAAGAGGCTTGTGTATACACGTAACGCCTGTTGCCCTAGCCTTTTTTCTGCGAATAATGACGATATTCGTCCTTCGCGGACGAAGACAACCAAATATTCAGAGCTTGTCAGTGAGAAGGTGGCTGATATAACACCAATGCACCTGCGACTGTGAAAACGCGTCGCAGGGTATCAAGACTAAGAGATGTCTTGATTCTCTTATCCACGCTTTTCAAACTCCTTGCTTAGGCCACGAAAATCGCTGGAAAGGGTTGTTTTCCACTATTGTATTTCGTTTCTTTGACAGTCGCGCCTACACTGATTACAAGGATTTCATGGTGTTTTCCACTTTGACTCTGAGCTCACATGACCGGCTTTGCACGCGACTTCGCACGTTCCTTCGGCGGCTTCGCACGTGAAGAGTTTCTCAGTTAAATTAATTCAAAAGCTACCTTTCTGAAATTCTCATAATCAAGGAAATGTCTGAGGACCACTTCAACATCCCAGCACGGACCAAACCTTGAAAATATTTTCATTTTGTCTCCCGCGACCTGAGGATTATCGTGTGCGACTCTCAACTTTGGCCTCTGAAACGTTCAAAGGACTACTAACTTAATTGATTATATAACTAGCAAAGGAACTTTGGTGATTCCCGTGATAGCCGAAAACCCGGGATGGTCTAAATTGGTAATAGATATGACGGTTCCGTGATGGTCTCGTGAAGGAACCGTTCGTGACGTTGGCCGTAAATTGCCGGAACAACATTTGTTAAACTTGCAGGGAGTACAGTAACATTTGTACAAAGCAACACTCATATGATCAGCAACGGTCTTATTAGTCAAATGTTTTAATTTGACATCCGTGACGGTTTATAGTAAGATAATCAACCTTGTAACAGTTCATAGACGAGACTATGAGACAGTTTAGGTTTGAAACTGAGAAGGTATAGTCAAATACTTGGCGTTCGTTACACGAGGTATGGGTTCCGGGGGGGGAGGTGATACATGAACTATATAGATATGTGTGGTGAAAAGGGTGTGAATTTTGAGCCGTCTTGGTCTTCAACGGAATATAGACTTTGAAAGTTTTGATCTGAAATATCTAGGGTGTATTTTGTGCATATCTGTCCTGGATTCCAGGAAAGCCCATATCGAATATTATTCCTCTCTCGAAAAGCAAGTGCGACTTGATGAACACCGGGAGTTTGAAGCCCTTTCTCAGATATTCTAAGCAAACTAACGTAGTTCCCGAGTATAGTCTGGTCTAAAATAGAGAATATGGAGTATCGTTGACGTTAAGTACAGGTCTGATATGGGTAGCAGGGTAAAATCACACTTTTTGGTTGAAATGGACACACCCTCACGAAAATTTTGAGAACTACCCTTTCATCCCCCCACTCCTCCCCCTGTTGTGTGAGCTATCTCAAACGCGCGCGTCTGGCGCACAATACTCGCCAAGAAATAATTAACAGGATTTCAAACTTAAGGCGAAACATTCCTGATTAACAAGAATCAACTCCATTAAAGGATAAAACATCAAAGCTGAGCCGCTCCTACTAAATCAACTTACTTTGAAATAACATTTCAACGAATACCGCCCACGATTTTAGCCGGCGTAATCTGGTTGGCTAAATGTTTCACTTCGCTAAGAAGATTTGCGGTTTATGCAGCCAAAAAGAATCCGAGATTTTGTCTGGTATGGAGCTTTTAAAATTCCTAAATATAAAAAGAAAAGATGTTAAAATGTCTTTGGTATTCACTTTGCGAAGTTTTGAACGTGAAACTTGACCGGTTGTGAAAAACCATAGGTTTCAAAAGATCGATGCTGTGTCGCCAAACAATGTGTGCTCAAGGCTCCCTCGGAAAGCCGTTGATTTCGTCTATAACATGAATCAACTATATCGTAACATAACTTTATTACAATGTAACAATAACGCAGCGTTGCTGGAAAAGTCTTTGATCTAAACCCCTGAAAACTTTTTCTCTGGATTTCAAAAAAAAAATAAATAAATATAATAAAATAAAATAAAATCAACGGAAATCCGGAGGAAGGCCCATTGGGTCTTGTCTGAATACTGAGAAAACCCGGCCATTTGGCTTCAAATTGACTTGCTAAATTTTTAAACCGTTTTTCAACTGCAGTAAACAATATTTCTAAGCTTCTTCTGAACAAATATTATCCCAGCTGGAAGATCTTTCTTCGTTTGATATTTTACTAAATAGTTTTCCTTGAATATATAGTCTTGAAAAACACACACAAAAACCATCTGATTTGATTTTCTTTCAGCAAGAGGCGTTTTTTACGGTGAACAGTTTTAACAGCACAACACCTTTGTGTTTCGAACCAGCTGGTTTAAGTGAGAAACAGGGATCAAACACGAATTTGGCCCGCATGTTTTCCGCACTAACTTAGTTAATTAACGCTTTGTACTTATGCCTCCCGGCCTTGATCAAGCTTTTCCTGCCCTTGTCACGTTGACTAATGCCTTAGTCAATCTTTGTGAAACAGTTCTATTTTTTTTAGTGTTGTTTAAAGATCCACAGTTTCACTATCCTCAAAATCCAACAAAGAAGAACTTTTACTTGTTTCTTGTCCAAAATGGAAGCAAAATCTAAATACAGTCTTTTGTTCCAGCGTTTGACCGCAGTTACTATATAATGTAGAGGTTGGAAGCTCATTTTTTTTATGCCAACGGAGGAGCTGTAAAAGATCTCATCTACTCGGCTATTTTTTGTAATATTCTACGACACCTTTCACTAGAACCGTCGCAGATAGTTTTAACAAGTAGGTTCACTGAAACTGCCTCTCTTCACGCGACGCTTCACAGCTCGTTTTACATCCCGACTATGATCTGCGCTTTTGTCTAGATCTTTGTTTGTCTTAAACTTCGCTTACAAAATATCTCGACTGCGTGTTGGATCTTCTATGATACCACTTACCTTCAAAATCAATCAACTTCTATAGGACCTCCAAGCTTCGCTGTTGTAGTGCCAGGCGACTCGAGTGTTTTTGAAGGAGAATGTAGTCAAGAGTGGTGTTGACGCTATTAAAGTGCGATTAAAACTAGCCAACTACAGAGGACTGGCGCTTTTTATGGCCTGAGTAAGGCGGGAAGGGCGTGGAAAACCAAAACAAATGAAACTGATGACATGCCGTTACTTCCTGTTGTTATTATCGGCGGCCTCAAGGTCACATCTATCTAACCTCAGTGGCCGCCGCAGCGACTGTGTTTTTTATTATTTTTAAATAATAATTACGTTTATAAATAGACGAAAACATCCGTCAAGCAATGAGGAATGACTTTTTTTCGCTTCTTTGCTATGTAGAATAAGAACTACCGTGATTTGTCTGTCTTACGAAATCAAATTCCGGGACATTCCAGAAGACACGACGCTTATGTCACGGCAGTCACGTGTGAAAACCTGGAAATGGAATTCAACGCACGAACTCGTTTAACGACAAAACTAAAAGGTAAGCACGAACTAAAGTAAGAATCCAGTTAAACAGCAAAACTTCCTCTTATTACTACTATCTTGCCTATGCACTTTTGCCTAAAATTGGGATTAGTTTATGGTCAGACAAATACCGCGCTCTTGTTTGGGCATTCCTAAAATAGCGATTCATTAACGTCACGCCACGTCACAGTTTGGTGTCACGTAGTGGTGTGTGGCTAATTTGTACAACCAAATATTCTTGGCGTGTATTTACAGTTGGGATTTATATAGCTTAAGCTTTACGCAAATGTTTACAGGAATCTACTTTTGTGGATTCTCTTCAGTTTCGCAAGCAGTGGCGGTTACCATCATCTATATTTTTACCTTTCAGGAATGTTACAAAAATATGTAGGGGACGAGGCATAGCTTTTTAGTGAAGTTTACACCACAATTTTGACTCGCGTATTGTTTGTGATCTGACAATGTCATTACAAAATTAGTAAATTAGTTTACTGTTCTTTGTCGTCAAAATAAAATTGTTTAAGACTTTAGGCTTCCCAACCGGTGCTTCAGTATCATGACGTGAGACCATTTAAAGGTTTTTGTTTAAAATAGCAAGTTCGTAGGAGACTTAAAATGCCTGGCCCAAGTCAGAGAGTAACTTGATAACATTCTCCAGATTTGCTTCAATTTATCTCTCCATAAAAGTAGCCGTTATTGAATAATTCCTTCTACCGTCGTGCGTCCGCTTACTCGACAACTCCCGCAATATTTTTCGCAGGAAAAACGGGCCGGATAAGAAAATATCTGCTTTTCTCTTATCGTATCTCATATCATGTTATTGTAGTACTTCTTAAAGTGGGCCAGTATTTCAAAATGTACTGGTCTTATATTCGCAAATAACACTACGTTGAATTCTCTCTTTTTTTTTTTCGCAGACGGTTTTCAATGGATAGACCAAAAGGCGAAAGCTGGTTATCAAGAATTGTGATTAGACCTGTCATTAATTGTAATGTGTTTCCTTTCTTTTCGGATGTTTCTTGGTATCATACGTTTTTTTTTTTTTTTTTTCAGATCACAAATTCATGATGAAAAATTTGAGGAAAAAGTATTTGGGGAAGTTGAAAACCGTTTCGTGCGATTATTTTTGATTTTGTGGGTGTGGAGTTAAATATTGTAATTACGGGTCAGTGCTAATTGCAGTTCGCGACCACATGATGACATGGCGGTTTTGCTCGCGGCCAAATTTACAAATATTGAAAACAAGCCTTTATTTCCGTTAACCCTTTCCAAAGTGAAAAATAGCAGATCTGATGTTGTTTTCTAATAGACCCTAATAGGACGAAGGGTTTAAGGTTTTTTGATCCTCGAGAACCCAGTCAGAAAGAGATCAAACCTAGTCGGGGTAAAACAGTAGCAGTGTACAACCGTATATGAATCGAAGCTGTTATGACTTAGCCCGCGAGCAGTTCACTAAGTACGTCTGCAGTAAGTACACATGGCTGCACGAGCCGGAAGCCTTGAGACCCTACGGTTTATGAGGAATCACTGACGCCCTTATGTTTGTGACTGGCAAGGCACTTTGTAAAATGTGTCTACAAACGGTACTGGCGAAATAGCACGACTCCCTGAAAAAGTGCGATGTAAAGGTTCTATTCAATAGCCTCGAGTAGCGCGGCGCATATCTCCGGTTTCCCTAGCAACTAAGCTGTTATTTCTATTGTATACCTTACTGCTTTAGTAAGAAAAGAGAATGTTCTCTCGTATTGAGAACTGATTCGTCTCCTCGTGGTTTAATTAACTCTACGTAGTCAGTTTTAAATGACACGTTCCGGACTATTAACGCTATCATTGCGATTGTGTCGCGCGGGATGTTCGTTATATTGCCGAGTTGTACTTAACAGTCTTAAATTTAGCCCATCTGATAGAGAGCCGATTTGCTACGTAACTGGCCGAATGCCATTGTTGCTTTAACCGGTCTATAGAAACAGAGAAAAGTATGTCTTGTCTTTTCTAATTGGAATTGAACATGTTTAATCTGTTTTTCTGCAGTAAAGTAAATTAAGTAACACCTGGTGTGTCGAGTTTCCAAAGCATTTCTCTTAATCTCCTAGGCTTACGTGATGATTACATAACAGTCGATATGCCCTTTGAAACTATTTTTTGTTCTTCATAGAAAGGTGTCTTTTGTTCACTTCCTTCGCATGGTTAAAATAGGTGACATTGGTAGTAACAACAATATCATGCCAGACAAATACTGAAGTATATTGCAATATCAGTCACCTTGGCCTACTATATGACGTGAATGATACTAATCAACTTGGGAGACCGTGAACGTTAAATTTCTAATTCCTAATTGAACAAATGACCGTGCGAACTTTAGAGAACCTTTGCAACTGAAGTTCTGGAAACTCGAGTGATTAGACATAAAAGTTTTGTAAAGTAATCAGTTGAAAGGATTTCATAAAATCATGACACCGCAATCACCTTTCTTATCTTGGTTTACTCTTAGATAGAACAACAAAATATATACGGTCAATATTTTTAATTGCAGGTTGAACAAAGGCCAAGTCATAGAATTACTTCACAGCTTTTCCTATTGTAGCTGTTCGGTCTGTGTAAACCGATTTTCTGCTTTTGTCTTGGGTGAACCAGGCAGACGTTCTCAAAAGGTTGTATCGGATCTACCGGTGTCATTTGTTATTGGAACCAAAGTCCTGTGGAGCTCAAAGTGAAAGTTCAATGTCTAAACTATTAACGTAAAATGTAATCCAAAGTCTCCGCTTCAGTTCTTTGTGCTGACGAGGGGCCCGTTTCTCGAAAGCGCCGGAAACTTGTCGGACGGCAAAGCCATTTTCAGTTTAATTAATCTGTATCTAAAAACAGAAAGGTGTAAACGCCTGAAACTTTTTGTATGAAGGGAACCTCTCTTCATATATTAAGAATATGTGAGTAAATCATAAGGTTTGAGATTTTGCTGCGGCTTTCCGGGGACGAAAACTTTTCGGGAACTTCGAGAAACGGGCCCCAGTCCTGAACTTGTCTTGCGCTTTCATTCTCGTCGCAAAATCAAGAGTTTGGAACCTGGAAACTTTTGCAATTATGCCACTGGTTACTGCGAGAGGTTATAACCAAAGTAACAAACAAGTTCAAGTTTGAGTCAATGCGAAAAAGGAATTGCCTCTTCGGAAAATGTTTTACCTGTATTTCGTTGTGTGAGGAGTGCAATACGACCACTAAAATCCTAAACAGAATTGATGAAAATGGAAAAGGGGACCACCGCTTTGCGCTGCCGCCTTGAGCCACGACTGGCCTGCATGCTAGGTGGATTATCTATACTGAAAGGTTTTTGACATCAGTATGGCTACTTTTCAGGTGTTGGTTACAGATGGAGAGCTTTATTAAACATATATGGGTGAAAGATTTAATCATGTTCACAATACCAAGTTATTTGAAGCAAAAGATAAGCGCTACTATATCTAGTACTTGTATTCCATTAACATCGTTCAAACTGCGAGATAATGGGAAAAATAAACATACTAATGGTGGATCGAGATAAGAAGATTATTTTTCGCTGTGATGAAAGATTGCCATTTTAAGCACGATGTGGGCTATGGACATGACAAGCCTCTCATGGTTAATTGCCAGCTACAAGCTCCTCTTGAAATGAAAAAAAAAAGGACAGGACATGCATTGACTGATAATGAGCCATAACTAACTTCTGACTTTAGAAACATTTCCATCCTTGCTTTGCCCTGCAAACGTTGGTTTGGAGACAAAAGATGGAACTGTCTGTATACAAAGTTTGGATACAGCTGGAGTGGGACAGGGAAGAAACACGAAAAAAAACTTCCCATGGGTCCTACGTTATTCCATTCCGGAAGCTCGTCTCCAACAATCTCATCTAGATCGGGCTAAAGTGCAAGACAGTGTTGCGCATATTCTGTTTTTTTTTTATGAATATATTTTGTTTGTCAGTTTTTAGCGGGGTAGCTAGGGAAATATTTATACAGTCCAGACAGTGAGTTGTGGGGGAGCGCGTTTTCCTTCCGTAATTTGTGATGGCGGCTGTAAAGCAAGTCCACCGGGTTGCAAACAAGTCAAATATTGGTGAACAGATAAAGCAAACCGCTTCCCTTGTACAATATTGGTGTACTCGACGAAAACAAAATACAAGCTTCCGAAGTGTCGGCGATGCCATGCGCCTATTTTTGCACCGCACGCAGCAATACGTACGGATACTTTCAAAACGTAGATTGCAAAAACGGGTAAAATGGTGAACAGTTAACGAAGATTCGAAAGAAATAGTGAGTTTCAAAGGTTACTGAGGTTGTGTGTTTGCTATGATGAAGAGTTTGGTGGTCACTTTTAAACAGCTATACAGGTTTGAGATTTTCACCCTTCCCTCAGTGTGGGGCGAAGGGTGTATGTAATTAGATTTTATTTTTCTAATGTTGGCAAATTTAATTATCACCGGTATGTAAACATTTCTACACAACTAAGTCATGCCGGATCATTCCAAATGAACTATTTTTAATAACGCGAATTTTATTTTGTCGCTGCTTTTTTGGCGTCGGATTTCCGCATCACGACAGGCACATCTCCTATTTTTGAAATTGACAGTCGTCATTTTTTCGCCACAAAAAAACGGCAAACCAACTTACATCTTACTTAAAGACAATTTTTCTTTAACACTTTTTGGAACACAAAAATGATTGACAACTGTTTACTTTTTGCTTTTTGGGTGTTTCATACAAGCTCAAAGAATTGAAAATCATCACTTAGTTTTGAAATTGTGTTGAGATACAACGTATTAGCTAATTCTTAGAACTAAGGTAAAGCTCTGCTTACGAGCCAAATAGCCCATCAGGCCGGAGCTTATCCTGGTATCTGTAGCATGAAGCGACTAGGAGTATCTCTACTCCTCTCTGATGAGATGCTAGTCCATCGCAAGATTACCCCCAGCATTAATACCCATTTGCAGTACCCATTTATACACCTGGGTGAAGAGAGGCACTGTGAGAGTAAAGTGTCTCGCCCAAGAACACAACAAAATGGCTCGAACTCGGACCGCTCTGGTGATCCGGAGACGAGCACACTAACCATGAGGTCACCGCGTCTCCCACAGTTTTTTCCTAGAACTAGCATTAAAAAAATGTCCCAATTAATCAATATGAAGAACTGATATTTCGATGGTTTACATCATTCCTTTCACAGCTGAACCTAAATTACTAAATCATCACATCGTTTAACTGCTGCAAATCCAAGAACCTGATTGGTTGGTTCATTATTGTCTATTCGCTTTTATTGAAAAACTGAATCACTGGATAATGCAATTCAAGGGCATTGGTCTGGGCATTGGCCATCAAGGTGTATGAGCATGTATGCTCTATAAATATACTAAGCGTACTCATAAGTTTTTGGTGCTTTTTTACTGTTATTTTAGTTAGATTTTGTATATTTCGCAGGCGTTTTAATAATACAATTATTCCGCTCCCATGAGATGATTATAGCCAACACGGAGCCCGGCTACGCGCCTCGTTGTCTATCTACGATCTCATATCCAACGCACGCTCGTGGAATATTTGTTAAATATACCACGATCGCGTGCACGTTGCCCCTGAAAGTGGGGATCGGATTTACAATTTTTCTTGATTCTCTGGTTCCGTCTGCCGTCTACAAAAACAATTACATAGCTTTCTTTGCGAGCGATAGTCGTCTACTCAGTCTGGATTATCTTAGCTGCGAGTTGTTAGTTCATTGCTTGTAGTAAAATTGTTTAATACCCCATAAAAAGATTTTCTTCTCAATATAGGATATGGTCTTTAATTTTTTTTTTTTAATAAGTCTAGCAAAATATCGTGCTACGATATTTCAGTTTAAGAATGCGGACAATCTGTCTAATCTTGACAATTAACCTCAAAATCTTTTTCATAAAGGCAGACTAGGCCTTGGTTAGCGACCGGATAAGTTTACTCGCTCTATTTACCCAAGTTGGTAAGTAATTCTAATTGAAACGGAAAAATGTCAACCTCTTCGGATTAACGAATTTATTTAGACACTGCGGGCTTTTAATCCGTAGATCATGTATACATTAGCGCGCAGGCAATAACGTTATGTTTTTTACTTCCCTGCAATGAATTCCTTACATTTCCTATCATTGTCAAGACGTTTACCCTAAATTCCTGTCTTACTAAAATATCTGACTAATGCTCTAACTATCAGGAACAGTGAGAGCTTGAGAAGCCTCGTCCCAATACTTTCTTTGCTTTCATCTTCGTTAGCGGTTCGTTTGGGAGCACAAAACAAAACAAATGATTATAAACAATTGATTTCTATCGAACAATTCATTTTCCTTTGACGTTTCTTCATACAGAATTGCGAAGAAAATGTCGCTTGTAAGCTGAAAAAAGACAGACGCTTACAAAATTTGCTTTACACCACCAAATGCGGATGAATGACATTGAAAATGTTGTTCTCTGATCCTTGAGCTCTGTTTGACAATTCCTGATAACTTGAGAGCTTCTGAAAGGATACAATGCCACCAAATTTAATTTACAAGGACAATTAACGAGGGTTATTCTGGATAAGATATTTTGAAAATTGTGAGAAATCTTCAGTATTCCGAAGTGAGACAACAAATTTGTTTTGATTGCTCAGTTGAGTGGGATTCAAAGATTATCACTCCGCAATACGTAAGCTACCTCTATATTCGTCATTCTGAAAATGACCGGCATTCCAAAAAAAACTTGAACTTGCCGGTGAAAATATTTGTAAGTATTTGTGCCCTTTTTTATCCGTCACTTAAGAAAGATTCTGAGCACAAATTATGAGGATTAGAAGAGGAGTCACATATTTTTAACTGAAATATTTGCACGGATTTTCTCTTAAATATTTAAACAAAATATAGGAATCTGCTAAGCAGCGAGAAAATCGTTTAATATACCGTGAGAAATCAGCTTCTTTTTGTTATTACGTTCTTAAGTGGTACCCTAGTAGTCTTTAGATGGACTTAAGGCGAATCTATGAGTTATGGAGCGTGAAATAATAGTTAAAATCTGCGGACATTCTCGTCCACACAGACCGCGAACGGCGATCTTTCTGCTGTCCAAAAGGTTCGCGGCCTGGGACGAGAATTACCCACGGAAAATTTAGCAGGCGAGCGCGCAGTCATCTTAGATGGTATGGGTACCATTAACAACCCAAAATAACAAACAAGTCAAAAATATTGTTCGTTAGTTTCAGTTAAAATCATATTTCACATGAAATTGGGAAAAATGGCTTGTCATACAGGATTTGCTAGTGATATGCAGAGGTACGTTTAATTTTAACATCTCTAATTCAACGAACGTGCATGAAGGCACTCAAGAGAACCCAACATGTCTTATATTGTCGTTCTCGCAAGTCAAGTCAAGTGGACTCAGGCTGCCACACCTAATCTTAATCCTAGACCTCTTTAGCTCCGACTGATCGTGAAATGTTAAAGCGCTATGATGCTTTTTCACAGTAGATTCTAGACTAAGAGTACTCCCTCTTTCGCTTAGTCCGTCGTGTGTGACGCGAAAGAAAACCGCGAGAAAAAAGTGGCCGAGCGAAATCCACCATTTTTTTCTCGCGGTTTTCTTTTGCGTCACGCACGACGGACTAAGCGAAAGAGGGACTACTCGTAGTCTAAGTAGATTCTTTTGAGATGAGCAATTTCCTTTGTTTTCTTGTGTGACCACTGAGTTCTATGAGAATTTCAGTAGCAACCATCAGAACATATGGGTTATTGACCAAGCTTGTTCATTCATGATGGCTTGAATTTACCAACTTTCTTTCGACATAATAACTGCACGACATAAAGAACACCGCTTTTCTTGGGGGAGCGCAACGGGTAATCCAGACTGGAGCAAGAGGTTG